GAGCAGCAGTAACGCGACGCTCGGCGAGGTAAGTAAGAAAAAAACATAGCGCAAGCTTCGGCGCTAGGCTTCGGGGCATTTTGACAAGTACAAGTACTTGTCAAAATGCCCTGTATCGGGCCCGAATCCGATGCTAGCATCGGTATCGGGACATCCCTATTCGTTATGATGAAGTTAAAAAGCAAAAATATCTTTGTTAATATATTGGAGTCGATGGTAGTTTTTTTTTTTTTATCCGAAATATACGAAATTCGGATCCGAAATCCGTTAACGGAATTTCGTATTTCCTGCCTGTGTATTGTAATGCGACTCTCAGCAGCAGAAGAGAAAGCCTCTGATTGGTCAACCAAACAGTCATTTTTTTTTTATCCGAAATACGAAATTCCGTTAACGGATTTCGGATCCGAATTTCTTATTTCGGATAAAAAAAACTCTTGTCATGTTGTTCAACCTCATTTACAGGGGTAATATTATTAGTTCCCGTTTCAACGAAATTCTGATCCGAAATTCGTTAACGGAATTTCATATTTCGGATATAATTCGGAAACTGCAATTTGGATTTCGGATGCTTCCGAATTTACGAATTTCGATTTGTAGCGAAACGAATCGCACATGTCTAATGTACCACCTGGCTTCCTGATTGATTAGGAAGCCAGGCTGCCTACCAACAAGTGAAGCTGGCTTCCTAGCCAATCAGGAAGCCAGGAGGCGGGTCATAATTGGAAAGAAAGCCAGCTCCTGTGGCGTCACAAGGGGGGGCGGGGGGAGCGGCCCGCACCCAGGTGACACCAAAATGATTGTCATGTTGGTGTCACCCCCCTCAGAAAAGCCGGGGCACTTGGTCATGGACAGAGAGCCCGACACTTGCTCGAGAGAGGAGGAGACCCGGCGGCATACATTATCCCGCCAGGTGACGTCCCCTCCTCTCTCTGCCGGCGTCCATCACCAAGATGGCCGTCGGCAGTTAACGGCGGTACCGCGTGTGATGTCACTTCTGGGTGTCACCCCACCTCTGGAAGGCTCCATGGTCCCTTGGCAGTGCCGGTCAGAGGGAGTTCTCCCTCTGACCGGAAGTTCTGGTATTGGGTAAGGTATTGGAGCATTTGGAGTACGAGTACTCGCCCAAATACTAGGATCGGTATCGGCACTGATACTCGGATCGGTATCGGCACTGATACTAGGATCGGTACTAATACTCGGATCGTTATCGGCACTGATACTCGGATCGTTATCGGCACTGATACTCGGATCGTTATCGGCACTGATACTCGGCTCGGTATCGGCACTGATACTCGACTCGGTATCGGCACTGATACTCGGATCGGTATCGGCACTGATACTAGGATCGGTATCGGCACTGATATTCGGCTCGGTATCGGCACTGATACTCGGATCGGTATCGGCACTGATACTCGGCTCGGTATCGGCACTGATACTCGGCTCGGTATCGGCACTGATACTCGGATCGGTATCGCCACTGATACTCGGATCGGTATCGCCACTGATACTAGGATCGGTATCGGCACTGATACTCGGATCGGTATCGGCACTGATACTCGGATCGGTATCGGCACTGATACTCGGATCGGTATCGGCACTGATACTCGGATCGGTATCGGCACATGCAATGATGATATGCGGAGGCGTAACTAGAACCTTCAGGGCCCCGGTGCAAGAAACCATGAAGGGCCCCCTCCCCCCCCAGCCGCCATGGCACCGCATGGCTAACAGGAAGGCTGCCGGGGTCCCCAGCAAGCGCGGGACCTCAGGCAGACGCTTGTTTAATATTTTAGTGCCGACCCAGAACCTGCGTTTACGTACAGACGGGATTACCGAGGAAACCGCCATTTATATACAAAGTATTGGTTTGTAACGGTTAATTGTGACCGTCCGTGGCGGGAAATGATGAGCGGAATGTTATTATCGGTCACAATTAACCGTTTAAAGGAAATACTTTGTGAATAAATCGGTTTCCTCGGTAACACCGGTCTGTGTGCGCGGACGCTGAGGTCGGCGAATTCCACAGAACACCGGTATCTGCGTTCAGTATCGGGCCGGTATTGGCGCTGCTGTATCCCTACCTAATAATATAACGCATTGCTGGGACTTGTAGTCCTCCATAGTTGGAGCTAGTCTGTATAATCATCGTACAGCAATGCCGCAGAATACCAGCAGCTATGGAGGACTACAAGTCCCAGCAATGCATTATAATAAAAGCCAGCACTATATCACCAGCCTCGGCCCTCCGGCTGTGGTGGAACTACAAGTCCCATCAGGCATTACCGGGCTCTGACAGCCGCAGGCATGACACCCAGAGGCAATGGGATGATGGGATTAGTAGTTTGAGTGCCGCGGTTGCCCGCCCCTGGCATAAGGGACTTCAGGTTTCTAGTGGAATCTTTTTATTTCGCAGATCTTGTCCCTGTCAGCGGATTGGATGTCGTCCGGCTGGAAGTGCACTACAAGTCCCAGCATAGCTCGCCAGACAAGTCAGGACAGTCATCGTCCACTAGGGGGCGCTGTATGCCAAGTGACCGGAAGGAATTATTTCTATACAGGGGCCCCCCATGATCTCAAGGGCCCCAATCCGCCATCTTGTACACGGAGAGTTCCATCATTGATCTCCACTTTATATTTCCAGTGGATTGTTCTGCTCGGGGGAAGTCAGGGGCCCGTGTTCATGTTTATGGGGCCCGTGATGAAGTCATGTGATCTTCCAGAGACAGAATAATAAAATCTTACCCTGTAATCATCCCATGTGACCATGTGAGGAGGTCATGTGATCATTCATATTTAACGTGGAACTCCGCCCCCTCCTTCAGTCTTGCACAGTGGTCCCGCCTCCTCTCCTCTGATGTCACTGCACACTGGGAGCTTCTCACAATGTGCATTGGAAGCTGCAGCAAGTCAGATAGAGCCCGCCTCATTTCCTGGATGGAGGACGTCCAGCATCATCTAGCACTTGACTGTCCCCGCCCCTTTCATTCATTTCAGTTCTGTCAATCATGGAGGCTCAGCATGACATGTGGGTGTTACCTATGCAAATGAAGCCCGCCTAGGAACGCCTCCAAACTGACACCCACCCATCAAGGCATTGCGATATTTGCATAACTCCTCCCAAGAGCCCGCCCACTGCTTGCATCAGGGCTGAGGCAGGGTGCTGTGATGTTTTGAGGAAGCTATGTACAACCCCCTGCTGGCCCCTCCCACCAACGATGACATCACATGACACAGTGACAGTTGTGGGTGGGATGAGGTCATGTGACCGTTGGAAGTTACAATGTTGCTGCTGTTCTCATTTGTCACCATAACAGGAACAGAGGGGAAATCTATCCGGTGGGGACACCGCTAAGGGATTTCTCACTTCCTGTTGTGTCCCCAGGACAGGAAGTGTGGACCATGGAGAAGAGGAAGGTCGCGGGGTCAGGCCTGAGCAGTTCATTTATTTCTTACAAACGTCACAAATCAAATTCATCAAAAAAAACACAAAAACAACATAAAAAAAAGACGAACAAAGACAAAGAATTGGTGACCGGCGGCCGCGTCCCCCACGTGAACCTCGGCGACGCAGGAAGTGGGGTGACCGCACATCATCGCCCACCTTTCCGCCTCTGTCGCCAGCGGCCCGGATCCGGCCAGTCCCTGTACATGAAGCAGTCCTGAATGCTGCCTGAACTCTGCAGCCGCCTCACACGTCAGCGTCACCCTCCGGCCGCTCTCCTCGTGTCCCATGCAGACGTTCTCTCCCGTTCACTCACATACGCCCCCCGCTGGGGGGGGTTCGGACGCCGTGGCCCCCCAACACTCAGACTCCAGTCACACCGCGTTTGCGTCTCGGGGATCAGTCTCGCAGTCGTCATGCGCTCCTCTCCGCAATGTGCGCGCCGGGTGGTCAGCCGGGTGCGCGCTCCGCCAGGGCCTCCTGCATCTGTTGGCGGCAGCGGGTGTAGCGCTGGATGAGCTGCCGCATGTGCTCCTCCTCCTCCCGCTGCAGGATGCGCAGGAAGTTCTGCAGCTCCGGCATGCTGAAGGCGTCCCACTGCAACAACAAAAACTGGTTAAAGGGGCCCCCCGGGGAAGCCGATCAGTCGCAATGTCTGACGCTCGCGTGTGTCTCTTTAAGAGCTCCCACAGTGCGGTAACCAACGGCAACCTGTCCGTCATCACTGCCGCGTCTGGGAAGTTCGATGTCTTCACTCTCTCTGCAGAATGAGAAGTGAGACTGCAGAGAGGGAAGTGATGGCGGCTGCAGGGAAGGAACTTACATTGACCTCCCCGGTCTCGTTCTCCTTCAGCAGGAAGCTCAGAGTCTTCTCGCACGGCCCGGCCAGGAGACGCAGCGCCAGAGGCTCCTCCTCGTCCGACAACTTCCTCTGGGAGGCTGCGGGGAGAAAACAATCCGGTTATTGATCACCATCGGCTCCGCCCCCAAATCAATCCCAAGGGCTCCGCCCCCAAAATCAATCCCGAGGGCTCCGCCCCCAAATCTATCCAAAGGGCTCCACCGCCAAAATCAATCCCGAGGGCTCCACCCCCATCTCGATCAAGAGGACTCCGTCCCAAATCAATCCAGAGGACTCCGCCCCCAAATCAATCCCAAGGGCTCCGCCCCCACATCAATCCCCAGGACTCCGCCCAGTTTTTCGGTCTTTGCTGCCGGCGCAGGTGCTGCTATGAGTGGTCACACACCAGCTGAAATCAGGCTTGCAGTGGGAGTGTCTTCTCTAGAAAGGTAGTGTACCCGCCCCCCTCTCTGTCCTATAGTAGAAGCGGGTTCTGCTCACCTTGCCCCTCCCCCTCCGTCCGCTGGAACAAGGCGAACTTGCGCGGGTTGTCCAGGACGGTGAACTTGCGGAGGAGCGCCTGGATGACCTCGCTGGCGGTGGTGCGGGAGGTGAGGTGCAGGTGCTTCGAGGCGTCTTTGGGGAGGTAGAAGGAGGTTCTGCGTTTCACCTGCTGCGAGTTGGCCGACCCCCTGCGTTCCCGCGCACACGGCGGCTTCTTGGCGGGGGGGGGGGACACGGGAGCCGTCCTTGTTCTGAGAGGGAGACAAAGGAGTGAAACATGTAGGGGGATAAAAGGGGAGGAGCCAATCCACCAATCAATGAGAACCGCCAACGCGTTTCAGGGGTCCCCGTGAGATCCTGTGTGCTCTGTACAGCGCTACAGTATATGTCAGAGCTATATGTATTCTGTGT